TGAACTTAAACAGCAGTAAATTATTAATTACGCTGCTTATAAAGCCTCAAGAGCAAGAAAAGATTTTGCCAGTAGAAAAGGATTTCAAACCAAGTTAAATTTAAGCATAACAGAAAACAAACACCAAGCCACCCAAAAAACAACCCTATAAAAATACATTTGACTAGCAGCAGTGCCTGATACCTAACAAACTTACTTTATTTTCCAAAAATGAGCTGGAATAATATAATCTAAGTGTGCATTAACAAAACAAGCATGGAGGAAAAGCTGAACTAGGAGTGCTTATATTGTGACAATGCAACCACAGAGGCAGAATGAAAAACTGCGACTTCATTTCAGTTTTGGTATTCACCTGTCATTCAAACAGTTTTCATTTCCAAGATGCCCAGAACAGGCAGCAATTAAAGAAAAACAGTTCCAGTGATCTAAATATGGAATAAGATTGGTGACTATTTTCAAGATTTTTATTTAATCCAAAATGGTCAATGAAATCCTAAAGGTTTATCGTCTGCCATGTTAATGCTGAACACACTGTTGTCTCATTTACATTTCTGGTCCTGCTGAAACAAATACACTTGTCTAAAAGAGAACATCTGTTTTGGTTATAATACAATGCATCTTTGGCAGACTCACAATAGAACTAACAGAAATAATCAGGAATATTTATTGAACCTTGTAACGAAAACTGATTTGTAACAAAAAACCTGAAGACTAGATATGACTGTCTCTGGGCTACAGTCCAGTCCTAATCTAAATCAATAAACATAGACTCTAAAAGGAAAACTGCACTTGCAAAAGAATCCTGCAGTTATTTAGGTTGGATGTAGGTACTGAAAGTGTGTTGGTTATAAAAATAGTGAAAAATATTTGCTTTAAATCAAAAACTGTCAAACTGAGTCCAGACAGGTTTTAAAGCCACAAGAAAAAGTGTGCCACATGCCTTATTTCCTACCATTGTCTTAACTCATTTGTCTTCCTCTGGAAAGCTTCACTAAAAACTTTATTAATAATTGTCATTGCTGAGAACCTGGTATTTTAATAAATTGCATTTGTTTATTTATTAGCACTAGAAAAATATAAAGTAGTTGTCAAATAAAATAGTTGAGAAAAACTGGCTCCTATAAACAGAACTGTTTGGGAAATCTCTTGATATCAATACAACTGAAATATTAAAGTGAGAATCAGTTAACCTGATTATTGCCCCTATTTCACCTTTTTAGCTGTGTGTTATAGTTGAGGTTTGTGGTTATACGCCCATTGGAGTTAAACTCTGAAGTCAAGGAATATCTTCACGCACAACTCTGAAACAATTGCACAGGATTTGAGCCCTGGAGAGAATTTCAGCATATTCCTGCATGTAATGCACATACACGCAATCACTAAGTATTCAACTGGCGTTATTTGCTAGAGAAGCCAAAGTCTGCAATACCACTCTATTTTTCTGAATGTCATTTCTGAGCAATAGCTTAAGAAGTTGATTGGAATTTTGGTTTTAAGACACCATAAAACAACAAAGTCTGGTCATTTCACATTTGGATTTCTTCAAGAAAAGGACTGTCAATGTAAATACCATTGGTGATTCTCTGAAACTTGCACAGAACAACGAAGAGTTCAGTTTTGTCATTTCAGGCAAGCATTTCCACCTTCACACAGTTCAGTGCCTTACAAAGATGTACAATCCTTTGCCAAAGGTATCATGTAATATAATTGACGCATTCTGTAAGTTTCAGTACGGTGAGTGAGATTTTTTTCTTTTTGCCTGTTTTTGTTATTTTTCTGTACAAACACTCAATTGATTTGTAATTTCACTTTTCATTTAAAATTGCCTATGCACACCCTTAATAATAAACTATAATGTATTTAAATTCACTTGATCCAAAAGCATACAGTGGGTTTCCACAGACTTAAACTGAACTGTGTTCAGGCTACATACACTGCTCTTACTTGTCCCCTGGGTGAAAAAATGCATATGAGAAAACAGCATAATCAAAAGATGACTTTCTAGAGCTAGAAAGCAAAGGAATTTTGAAAGATTTAGAAGCATGTCTGGGCAACTGTGGTACTGGTTAAGGCAAAGAGATGCACGTAAAGTAGTTTAGCACAAATAGCAACATGGGAATCACAATCATCAAGAAATCAACTGTCTAAACAGTTAAACTAAACACTGAGATTGCAGATCCAGCTTATTGTGTAGAATCATAGAATAAACTTAAATAAATATAGGTAACTCTGGTAAACTTAAATACATACAGGCACACACAAACAGTATGACTCCATACAGGTCAACAGAATCAAGTGTCACGTATAGTGAACCACACAACAACCACCTTACATTTTTTAACCTTGTATTTTCTAAGCAGTATCTCAGAGTTCTACATACAAAACCTGACGTAAGGACCGGCTTCTCATCACAAAGGTGCAAAACAAGGAAACCACTAATACTACAAAAAAATAAACACAGAACAAAAACAAAAACTGCTTTCACTCCCAGGAATTAATCTTGAAGGTGAAGATTGCATTTATATACTTAGAAAGCATTACTTTTGGAGCGACCTATTTAATTCCATGGAAACTACAACAGATACAAAGACTAAAATAACAGTGTTTGATAGAATAAGTTTTCCAACATAGTCATCAACACTAGCTATGTATTTTTGCCAGCAATAAAAAAGGACCTGCACATCATGCTCGTGAATCTGCACCAGAGGTGACCCACCTCTGGCATCCCTGATAGGAAAACGTTGTCCACGCAATCTACTTTTCCATCGGTCCAAACACACGGAAGCTAGAAGACACTAAATCCAGACTATACATTTGGTGTGGTAGGACAGCCAAGCCAAAACTGATAATATGCTCCAAATTCCTCAGACTGGTATGGGGCCTGGTGTTTTACTGCTGCAGAAAAAAGGTTTTCTTCTTTAGGCTGGCACTGGAAGTCTGAGCCTTCAGCTAAGTCCACATCATAACGTAGCAGTCAGAGCATGATGACATGTCTGGAAATCTAGAAGGATCATCTCTTTCCTTCCCCAGAAGTCTGCAAATTACTTCACCTTCTAAAAGCTGTCTTTTTTTTTTTTTTAATGGGGAATTCACAGGTCACCACTCCATAGACTGCCATTTTGACACCAGCTTGCAGTGGCAATACCACATCACCAGTAATGATGTGATCCAGATAACTATTACCTTCAGCCTTGTATTTGTTTAATAGGCCCTGATGAACTTGCATACAGTGTTCTTCCTGCTCCTACTGTGTGAGCATTTGTGGGATCCACCTGATGCAAACTTTGTGAGATCCCAAACATTGCCACCATTGTTTCCAAAACACTGAGGCCAGTTTTCAGCTCTGTACACAGTTCCCTGGACATAATCTGCCAATTCATGCAGATGAGCTGATCAAGATGTTCCTCATTTTGTGGTGTGACCATCCAGAATACAGCTTGTCTTTCATGCTGTTATTGCAGAAATGCACTACACACTACCTGACAGTGCTCACATCCACTGTCTGGTCTGTAGAAACATTCAGCAAGTGTCAACAAATATCAACGGATGCCATTTTTTCCCCACACGGAAGAATTCAATTACACACAACTGCTTCATACACAATTCTATGTCAGGCATCATTCTGTCAGACATCTCTTTGCTGCCATTTGTCACACAGCAACAATACGTAATACAATACTGGTGGGAAGATTCAACCTCTACTGTCATGCACACCACCAACATCCATCTCTGACATTGTGGGCCGCCATAATAAAATAAGAGGCATTACTTTTGGAGCAGCCCTTTTATTTTTCCTACAAATATCATCAAAAGTTTTGGAAAAAACGAAAGGTAGAAAATGATCAGATACTAAAACAAAAAGCAACTAACTTGGTAACCTGCATGACTTCTGCCTTAGAGAATTTATACTGATTCCTAAAGCTTTTATTCACTTCTAAAGGCTATTGGCCACCTCCCTGTCCCCCCAATCAATACCTTGTTATCTTGCAGATTCTATAATCTTGCTTTACAATATTAAAATTATTAAGCAACCCAAGAAAAGAATATGAAAATGATCTGCCACAGAATAGCAGAAATATCTTTTTCCTGTATAGGCTAAACAGTTATTTTCATTTTGTATATGATACCAGATCATTACTACCTTCAGACAAAACGCTTATGTTAACATAATTGATCTTTAAACTACATAAAGTGAACAAAATTAACATAAATATTAGCCAAAAAACACACAGTATGAAGTGCTTTTCATTTTCTACTGACTATAAAAATCCACTGTTTTAGAGTTGGTTTCCTGAAGCATAATTTCTCAGAAGTTTGAATAGTCTCCATCCTTTGCAGAAAAAAACCCATACACATTCCCCCCCCCCCATGTCCCTTCCCCCTTCAAAAAAGAAACAAACCACCACCAAACCCACCACAACAGAAACACTGCCTAACAACATCAGAAAATCCCTGTCTCTTAAGCAGCAGACACAATTCTGCATGGAAAAAAAGAAAGCAATACAGTTCCATACAATCCAAAGGTAGAATAGTTAGAATTTGACAAACTAATGGATAATGTTTTAAGATTAAAGAAGATAAATACCTTCACTAATTTCTGCTAGCTATATACAAGGTATTTAATCCCAGACAAATTAATATCCAGGGAATTAATAAGTATTCCATACAACAGTCAGATAACACACGGTTTATCATTTGGAATATAACTTGATTTATCAAGAAATGAACACATGATCCTTGAGCTACAATTCTCACACACTTCAGTGTGATAACAGCAATAGAACAAACTTCAGAAAGAGAAAAACTGCTTCAGTGAGTCTCATCTACCTTCATGCTCCAAAGAGCTACACCCCTTTTCCTTTGGCTAGAAGGATGGATCAAGCTTGACTTAAACACACATAAAGTAACCAAAAGAATAACTTAAACATTACACTTAAAAACAGCTGTTAGGTTAAAATAGGTCGAACAGCTGAGCATCACAAAATCCAAAGTAATCTTACCAGTAAACAACATCCAGTGGTGCAAAGTATTTCTTCATAATTAAATCAGCAAAGTAAGCTTCTGTTTCTCTGCAGGCAGTGCCATTGCCAATCACAACAGTGCTACAGCTTTGAATGGGGTAGAAAAAAAAACAATTTTCAACTATTCTTTTACACTTTTTCACACAATGCTCAATGCACAATGACCTATACATCTTATTTTACATAATATAGTGGCTGCATTTAATAAAAAACATATTCCTAGTAATACCACATTTTGCTTAAAAGCTTTTCAATGCAACTTAAAGAGATGAGTCAAAAATGTCACTCATTTGTAATGAAATTGGAGAGTTAAAAAAATATTGATATTTATAGAAGAAAGGTCACATATTTACAGTCCTCAGACCAACTTACCTGGTATTTCTATCATCTACTATAAATCACAAAAAAGGTAGGTGCCCAAGCAATCAGAATCTTAGTTACAGCTTATGTCTCTGACTGCCCCAGTACAGACAAATAGTCATCAAATCATGGTGTTTAAAGCCAACCCAATGCTTAAAAACAAATTGGCTCATATACCCTGGCAGTTCAGCAGCTGATTCACTGGACAAGATGTCTGCCCATTGGGGTTCCCAAAGCATGTAATACGATAACCTTTTGTGTTCCCCCTGTTTGCTATTCCATCTGGAGATCTATCTGGGTAGGATTTCCTCTGCTTAACAAACTTCTTTCAAAAATTATATCTGGCTTTTGGAATAGGAAGGGATCAATGAGTGGGTTCAGGGTGGGAAGAAGGGAAGACAGCACGTCTAAACTTGTTCCTTAACTTAATGTTAATTTCTAATCCTAAATATAAATAGAATGACAGAGCTTTATGGAAATACATTAATAGCATGCAATCTTAGTCATACTCAATTGCTTCATTTCATATCCTTCTATCATATGCATAGGGTAAAAAAGCATGAACACAGAATAAGAAAAAGCTCTAAACTACTCAGAAGAATAATTCCATTAAAATTCATAGTATTTTGATTCTACCCAAAGGCCAGTATCAGTGAGTAAAGAGTTTTCATTATCTTTAGTGAGTAAGAATAATAAGTTTCCTCAGCATACCTGAACTGTAGCAGAAGCCTTTTTATCTTCTCAGCTTCACGAAATCCTTGACCAGAATGCAAGTATACAATATCGGTATGGAGTATCTGACCTAGAACAACAACAGCAAAAAAAAGCTATTTAATAATTCTTTAAAAAAGACATTCCCAGGCTCCTGAATTACTGAAGTTAATTCGATGATTTACAAATAAAGCTTTTTAATATGACATCTTTTATTTTTGTCTCTGATTAGATGAAAAGTATGGTAGGCGAAGGATAAAAATGCTCTGGCTGCCAAAGCTAGATAAATTGATACACTTTGTATTTCCCTGAGGACATATCCAAATAAGAAATAATGAGCAGCAAATTATACAATACTTTATACTCTTAATATTATCAAAGAGAACAAAATTCACTGCAAAAAATATGTAATGCTATAGTCTACTAATTTTTATTGACTTGTTTTAAAAGAGATCCACTAAAGAGAGACGAAAATTAGGAATCCATTTTAAGGACAAGTAACACAGGAGCTCTAGAACTTCAAGGCTTGCTCCTGCAATATTCCCATAACAAATTTGGAAATAAGCCTATATTAAACATAATAGCTAACAGTATAATGCAAACTATTCACCTCCATTTCATTGCCATTTTAAGACACATTAAGAGCATATCTTCTCTTATTCCCTCACTAGGTATGTATATTCTCAGCCAAAAATCAAAGACAAAAGAAAAAAGATTCCTCACAGCACCTAAAAAAGCATGGATCCCCAGATCAGACTAGGATGCACTGGAAAGGCTATGATTTTTATCCATCTAGAAACTGAACAAAATAAGCTCTGCAGGTAAAACATCTCTGACTTCTCACATTAACGCATAACTCTAACCAAAAGGTCTGATGAAGTGTCCAGATGTTCAAGATGCTACCCAGGAAAAAGCTAAGTTATAGAAAGCACTTAAATTCAAACTCTTTGTTAACAATAAAAATGCCAGGTGTTCTCTTTGCATACTATTGAGAGGCACAGTTATTTGAATCTATATTCAAGAAGGCTGAGGGAATTTGAAATTCTATTGTATTGAGGAGTAATAATATCACAAGAGACACTAGAATCTATATGCAAAAAATTTAACTTTACATCTGAAGAAAGGTATTTCTAAGACAGGATGTGTGGAAATCACTAAGAACTTAAAGAAGCAAAGATCTATTTGATAAAATGAACATAGGTTGCTCTTAAAGTAATGCCTCCTATTTATTTCTGTGAAAACTACAACAGCACAACATCGCTATTTCATAGAACAAATTCTCAACTACAAAACACTATTTTTTAAAACAGTCACCATCATTAGCTATGCATCTTCAGCAGCTATGAACAAGAGCCTATATACCACACTTGTGAAAATTTGCATGGCCATCTGAAACACAACTCATCGTTCACATCACTGTCACCACTGCTGAAATGCACCACTCACTGCTTCACTGTACTCATATCCACTACTTAGTCTCCAGAAACATTTAGCAAGTGTCAATGAATTTTTTATTTTTTTTTTGCATAGAGGAATTTAATTCTAACTCCTTGCTTCATACACACCATCAAGACAGACACTATTCTGTCAGACTGCCCCTCTGCTGCCACCTGTCACATGGCAACAACATGCAATAGGATATTGGAAGGAAGCTGCAGCCTCTGCTGTCATATTACCAACATCCACTTCTGATGCCATGGGCCAACAATGGCAAAACAAATAGGCAAAAACAAATAGGAGGCATTACTTTTGGAGCAGCACTCATAGCTTTTTGAAACTACTCTTGCCCATAATTGAATGCGTGTTTTTTTAACAGTCCTTCCAAAACTAATAATAAGAAAAAATTGTATTGAAACTCACTGGTTGGTGAAATAATAGCCAACTTGCAGCCATGTTTGTATCCAGGATCTACTCCCATCAAAGTACGACCCCTCACAGGGCTGGTCAGAAGCAACTGCCGGAGATTTCTTCCAAACATCATCACAGATTCCTTTTCTGCATCAGATGTCAACTTTGATCTTAGAAGGATGAAAGCAGAAATCATTTTCACTTTAACTTTCCTTTATGCACTTTCAATATTTCCAAAGTCATAATTTTTTCCATTCCTGCTTTCATGCTCTCTAATTAAATATTACACTTTCAGTCATATTTTTTACGCTTTCTTTTTCATAGAGGTCAGTTAGAACCAGAATGAGAGGACTGCATAAGAAAGTAAGAAAGTTATAACAAAAATACCTATAAGAAGCGTACATACAGAAACTAAAATTCAAACCTCAACTTAATTTTGACCGGAGGTTAGCTTCCTAAAGAGCTGATATCTACTTGCAGAGATTTGAGGAAGGCATGGATTGAACTTAGAGTAACTTCCCACTTCTTGAGAGAAATCATGACCCAGCAAAACTAGGACAATCATGTAGTTTGGGAGATACTAAAGAGTATCTGGAGGGACTAACACATTAATATTCTGGAGCCACATAGCTTCATCTACGAATTAAGTTCTTCAACAGGTATTGCAGAACCATATAGATTTGACACACTTCTGTGAGGTTATCCTGCTTCCTCAAAACCAAACAAAGTAGGAAGTTGACAGGGTTAATTCTCCGTGTTCTTCAACAGAAAGAAGAGTTGGTGCACCAATAATTTGATTTTGATGACTTCAAGTATATATACTGCACAGCACTACATGAGACAAATCACAGCCTTTCGAATGAAGATACAGAAGATGCATGATATTTCTCAAAAGTGGAATCAGAACGACTATTAAGAACAAGCATTTTGGACACTGTATGGCATCTTAAATATAAAAAGCCAAACTGAAAAAGCAACAAGGACACAAATATTCATTATGTAGCAGATTGTTTCTATTTTGCAGGCAGTCATTACCATTTTCATCTACATTACAGTGACGATAACTACAAGAATTAGACAAGCAAAAGCCTTCACAGAACTTTAAGGGTTGCCAAGGCCCTTAATCAGCTTTTCTTTCTACCCATCACTGAAAAAAGCAAACTCTAAGTGTATTTTCTACAGAGAAAACACCTGCATTGCAGTAAACCAAACCCTATGAAAACAAGTGACTGAAATTGTTCAGGTCAACTAATGCCAGACAGCTAAGTCTCAAACAGGTTAAAAGAGTTCAAATAACTCACAAAGGCCATTTGACATGACTCAATATAAAGCTGTTCTGAATAACCTTCAGATGCAAAAAACCTTGAGTCTGATTTAAGCATCCCCAGATCCAGCAAACACCCAGCTCAGCACTATGCCACTCCACAGTAGCAGAGATGGATCTGGAAACTCTGCATTGGCTGTCACTTGCAGACTAGAGGTTCTCTTGCCAGTTGGTGGTAATGCTCTCTAACTCTCATTCATTCATATATTTGAGTATACAAATATATGACGTGCTGCTGTCAGCAGTAAATTACAATCCTGGGAGCACTTTACAATACATAGGCCATAGCCAGCCCATTGGGACCATTTTGAAAGTCAGAGCAACCACAGAAAAGAACATAATAAACGAATAAATTGACCGCAATGCACAAGAACTAGCTTTGGCACACATGGACAAGCGGTACACATATATAATCAATGAATGTACAGATGTTATAATTATGAAATATACCAGAGTTTGGCTAAGCAGTTATTATACCAAAAGAGAATAGCTAGAATGCTTACCTGTATCATGGGCACACTGTGGAACTCTAGAGGAGGGATCTCCCAAAAAGATCCTTCCCTACTGGTAGTCAGCTCTTAAATGGATCTAGGAGAGGTGCAGCCAGGCTCCACCCCTTCCGGCAGCACAGGTGAATTGCCTTCACCTGTGCTCCCATGGCTGACTCATTGCTTGCCTCAGGTGATCAATCAGAGGTTCAGGCTGTGATTCCCATACATACACAGGTACACTAAACTTCAGTTTCATGGTTTCCTGTCAATCAGCTGTTCTCTTTCTCACATCACCGTGAGAGCATTTGCTAAGGAACCGTGCACTAGCAAAATGCCTCCTTTTTTTAAAAAGAAAAAAACAAAAAGCAAAAAAACACTCTCTACATATCAACTATACCAAATTAACATAGATACTACTCAAAGCAGTATAGTTAAAATTATACAATGCTCCCAAATTTTATTCTAGCCTCCAACTGTTTTCATCTCAGTATTTCCTGAGCTTGACATTGCTTGTTTCTTTAATAGCCCACAACAAATCTCTTGTCCAGCTACTCTATCAACCCACACATCTTGTGTTCTCAAAGTGCTTTAGCAGCAAGGTCTGCAGGTCTATCACAAACTGCAAAGAGCTGCCTTTTTTGTTGGAGGCTTGGTCTATATAATTTTTATGGTTGGCCTAGATACCAGAAGAGTGAAAGTTATCCTTGAAAATTCTGTGCCATTCTTCGCACTCCACCTCAGCAAGTCTGCTCTTTACTAAGCTGTGGAGTCACCTACTTGATACTTCACATAGGAAAAAAAAAATTTACACCTTTGTATCTTCAATACCTTCCATTCACTGGGAGATTTCCAGACCTAATAAAAATACAAAGAGACTGCTATTCATTATTTTTTCTGAGATGAGGGAATCAGAATTCCAAATACTGGCAAATTATACCAGTTATTCTGTTCTGACTTTACCCCACAACTAATTAATCTCATCTTCTGTATGCTTAGCAACTACATGGAAATACCTTCCACAGTGCCAAAGACTGACAGGGCAGCTCAGAGTTCATCATTTTATATATAAAAAGAGAATTACTCTAACATCACTTTACTGTCGTTTCAGTTGCCATTTCATTTCCTGCCATTCAGTCTCGCAGCATCCTTCTGTAATGCAATACAGTCCATACCATTCTTAAAGTGTTGAATAGCCCAAACCACAGAACCACTCTTTTCCAGAGGGAGTTCAGGGATATTGGTGGAGGTGCCAGTTGAATTCTTGCCATAAAATTACCAGAAATACTTGATGTATTTTGTGAAAGGCCAGGAACAAAAAAGGAAATACCTAAGCCTCACAACTGCACGGATCTTCTACATACATGCACAAATAAGGTTCAGATAGCAAATGCGTGTAGAAGCAAAGTTAATATTTGTCTGTGAACAACAGAAGATTTGAAGCTCTTGAACTAGAGACTTTGTACAGAGACAGGCTGAATTCCATCTCTCCATCTATCCCAGAGATATGGGCTCCCTACGGCCCACAAGGCTGAGTCCTCCCACACTGCAAATTCACGTCAGTCTATCTGTGAAGGGAGCCTTGTGCCGGAATTAAAATTGTCCCTAAACACATGCTATTAGTTATGTGCACCTTATGGAAATGGTATTTAAAATTGGCACGGATAAATGGATATACCAAAACTTTTATAGTAACAGGAAATGTTACTGAAAGTGCCAGGTGCGTAGGGGGAACATAACGTATGTCCTTTCTATTACATAATATCCTGTATTTTTAATTTCAAATATAGATGTTCCTTTTCCCTCTAACTGTCTCTCACTCAACACTTGTGTCAATGACATGATCTACTGTCGCAAGTATTGGCCCTTCATTTTAAAGTTGGAATAGTCATTTGATCCTTGAACAAATATTAAGCTACTTCAAACAATGTAATATCTTTCTGTTTTTCACTGTACCATTAGATTCTTCCAAATGGCAAGATGCCCAGCCTCGTGTTTTTCCAATTTGTGACAATTCTCATTAATGTGGCAGAGATATAATGCAGAAGAGGATAGCAGACCTCCTCTTCAAACAATCAAAGAGCAATTCTGTAAAAAAAATATTTTTTAAAAGCTGCAGTTGCTAATTTACTAAAAAGTATTGACAGCCAGAATTTCAAGTTCCTCCTTGGAACTCTAAAAAGCACTGACTGTATATTACTAATAGTTACACCATAATAAAAGCTAATAACCTATTTGTGACCTATTTGCTTCTATATTCAAAGTTCAATGAGTGTGTCTTTAAACTAAGATTTAGAAGTCCCCACTTCCATACACAGTCTAAGAGGCTACTCCTTCCCTGGAAAAATGTCTGCAAACTAGCTTCAGGTGTGAAACAAGATATACAGAGAAATGTTTGTGTCCCTGAAGACAGAGGAGAGAAAGCACTCACTTCAAAAAAAAGCATGGAAAATTAGGAAAGGATTATCCATTAAGAAATGTCCATGCCACATCACTTGCATCAAATCCTTATGGAATCCTTCCATGAAGGACGGCAACAAAGTAAAATGTATTTCAAAGTGCCAAAAGCAACACTGGACATTATTATAGCAGATATAAGAAATTATGGTATCTGAAAGCGTGGAAGAAAGGAAATTAAACAATAAATAAGGTAACTCCTGCTGGCAAGTTTTATCCTTCTGATCACTAGATGCACTAGAAGTTTCAATACATTCTTGGAAACTTTCTGTTCCAATGTTTAATGACAATAAAAAGAAAAGAGAAAGAACAGCATGGGGTGGATTGCAGATATTAATGCTGAAAGTAGATATTGAGTATTTTAGCAGCCCTTTTCAAGAGTCCTAAAAATCAGCTCCTGGTGTGGGGGGAAGGGAATAATAGAGGGATAAGGGTTAAGTAGTTATGGACCAGGAATACTACTGGCAGGTTCCACGCATTCTCCTCCGTGGGAGCAGCTTCAGCTTTTTCAGACACTGCCAATCTTGCCAAACTACCACAATGAGTAAAATATAAACAGGCAACCACTCAGGAACGAACAGCAAGATTTGTATTCTTTAAATTTATGCCTTATACACCTCATCTAGAAAGTAGTAGGGAAGTAAGTTGTTTTTGTTGCAAGGTTTTCTGTTCACTTAAATACAAAATAACCTATTGCTACAGTAGCCCTTATAGTATTATACACAATACCCCTCGTTATTGTTAAGATCTGAATAAAAAGTTAAATGTGTTAAGCCATGAGAATCCTGTGATAGGAACCAAAAATATGAGAAAAGAACCATTACGTCACAGTTTGACTATTTATTTTATGATATCAGAGTTACCTTTCAGGTGAGTTTGGTTTTATTTGTTTTAATAGAGTTTGATTGCAGAGAAGGCTAGTAATGACAAATACTTTCACACCCATTTGACAGAAGCCAACGCTTGCACACACTGGTCATGAGATGTTCCTCACCTTGGCCAAACAATAGATAGTGCCTTCCCTCAAGCAGCTACAGATACTAAGGTCACAAAAATTAGTCAACTCAGCACTTCAAAAAAAACCTGTGAAATTCACACACACACACACACACACACACACACACAAACACTACACAAAACACAGGCTCACCATGAGTGACTAAACAAAAGATGTGAAGCAATTTCACTTGCCAAAAAAGGTGACCAAACAATATATTGCAGTGAAGAAACTCAAAAGCCATGACAAGCGTCTGCTGTTCAAAACATTAGCTGACAGTCTGGTTCCACAGGGAAGAATATAGAACATTCATCCAACAACGCTTCTGAGAAGCAAATGCCAGGAAAACTGCTCTAATTTGAACCAAAACAGAAGAACATAGCCAGGCTGGGAGGGAAGAACTACATATCAGAATGTGACTGAGGATTTCAGCTACTTATTATGCTGAATAACCAGCACAAGTCTCAACATTTATGATCTCAGAAACAAGGTCTCTTTAATAAACTCCAGTTGAACTGCTTCAAAACAGACTTTAAAATTTAAAGATCACGTATCAGGAAGCCTCTCCCAAATCAAACACAATGCCTGGGCAGTTTCTCTTGCATTCAAAATAATAAGTATCACACCATCAGTACTGTTAGCCAATCTGATGATATTCTTGTCAGGTGATTTTGGGGAAAGAGAAAGCCTATTCTTACTCAGGAAGGAACAGAGTTCATTTCGTCTTATATGCTATGATTAATTCAGAAGGGTGGAAAAAAAAAAACCAACAGTTGTAATATGGATGGGTATGATGTAGCAGGAATGTGCTTTTGGCCAGCTACATCCTCAGAGGAAGAACAAGCCTTGTTACTCTTCCCATCTCAGCCTTTAATCATGAAACACAGGAGGCGTGACCTTTCTCCTTCTCATGAAAATAGTCTGATAAGTGGTCTGACAGTCAAATCTCTAGCCATAAGGAAAACTTCAAATACAAATCAAGCACAACATCTCATTTGAAGACAACAATTCTAGAAAGTAAACTTTCTGACATACTCAATCATCTCAATTATGTGGTAAACTCTTACACTTTGCCATAGAAATACCTTACCTAGAGTTACTTAGACTTTAAGCTTTAAGTTTCCTTTCAGTTTAGAACAACAAAATAAGTCTTCCAAGCGACACTGTCTAATGGCATCATTCTTACGGTGCCACCAGAAATAACACTGACTTCTCTAGAGACAATTGCAAATTGAAATGAATAAATAAATAGCACTAACACTAACTAGTACATCTACCACAAACTGCAGATGGCAAACATGAGGAATACTTTCAGCCACAGCAACTACTTTGTTCATTTCTTATAAACAAGTAAAAGAAATGGGATTAGAACAACGTAACTGACACTGCTTTAATATGAAGAGACCCTGCGCAAATTCATGAATGTAAAACTTAGATGTTAATATGAGAATAATTATATAATTCTACCATGGTCATGTAACTCCATACTATACTTCATTAAATAAATAAACATGGAAACATGCAAAACGTTCAAAATGTCTTAACAGAAATGATTTCCTTATCCTAGCCTAAACCAAGAAGAGTCACATATTTAATCAACAGAACCAAGACTACACAGTTCTGAAAATATGGAGAGCAAAAACTTCCCAATATTTTCAAATGTATAAAAGATATTCTAATAACAAGTTAAAGAGAACTGTTAAGAATTCAGTAGCATGAAAATACATATTAATTCTGGAATTACCTGAATTCTCTACAAAGGAGAGGATATATGAGGCGTTTGTATGCATCCTCTACTGAGTTTCGTAGTATCCTCATTAACTCTGGTTTTAAAAATTGTTTTGGTCTCCATCTGCATAAAAATAGAAAAACAGAAATAAAAAAATGCTTTAAGCACATACATGAAAACTCAGATAAAAAGGGGATTTTCAAAAGTCTATTAAATTGAGTGGTTAAATGCAATGTTCTATAAACTGCAAAATCACTACAATAATTAGGCAATGAAGTCATAGTTTTAAATGTGACTAGAATCAAATCTAGCTCTTTTCTACCGTCAGATAAGGTAGGAGGCCTGTCTTTTTCTTATTTATGTTAGAATGCAATAATATTTTACAATTTAAAGACAGTAATTAAAAAATTACTCTTCACTTTGAGAAGCCAAACTGTCTCAATTGAATAAGAATCTTGGACCAATATAGTAAGTAACACTGTGTTATTTACTGAACCTTCATACAATAAAAAATGCTGAAACATCTCTTTTGAACATCAGAGCTCTTGATACAAGGCAACTGTGTCCAGATAGAAATACAAGCGCTAAAATAATGTCAATTGATGAAATCCAGTTCTAATACCATTTTGAATGCTTTGAGTACTCTATTCAAGTCCAATAAAATCTATCCATTTGGCAGCAGTCCCATTTTAAAAAAAATCAAACAAAAAAAACCACCCCAAGCAATTAGGAAATGAATTCACAATAAGAAATATCCAACAGAACTAAAGATCATTTCCCACCATTTTCTAAGCCAAATTCTTCAGAGTACACAGAGAGAACTTGCACAGCGTTCACAGCAATAGTGACCATTTCTTCAAATTTTGACCTAAAGTACACCTCAGCTTCAAAGCTAACATTCAGAGTTTCCTTCCCCTGGTGTATTTTTCACATGCCTGGGTTTCTAACTGCAAAAGGATTAGAAATATATTTTTAAACGTCTGGATGCATTTTATAAAGAAAAACAGGACTGAATTTAACTTTTGACTCTGTTTAGTTTACCTGCACTCACACAAAAATATTAAAACTCCTAAACTGACTGCTCCCACGCAGGCAGTTTTTCAGCTATTTAATGGAATTCCACAATTTCCCAAGACAGCTTTTCATTTTAAGTGTACGTAACAGCTGAGAAATGTGTGATGAAGTCAACACTGTATCAACACAGCCACGGGAGCAGAATTAGGTTTGCCATTTAGTTTTACAGCTTTCAGAGTTTTGAGTGTTTAGCCACATGACCTCATCACTTTGCTAATAGTTTTTGCAAAAACTTCTTTGCTACTAGCAACTCTTTCCATACGTATGTAAAATTGTCAAAGGCTTTAAATTCCCTTATTGTCATCCTTTCAATAAACATAAAATTTGTACAGGTGGTAAGCATGACTACATTCTCCCCAGAAGGTATCCTCAGAGCAAATAAGCATCAATTTTGAAACTGGTCGTTCTTTAGCCCTTCTCTTCTATGCATTATTACTAGCTAGCTTATATTTTATCTGTACATAGGTTACCACAGCAGATGTTTTTATTACCTATATATACAGCAAAAAATGACTTGGCAACATTCTATTAAAATCCTAAATTGCTACAAATTAAAAAATAGCCAAGCAGTAATTTCAATTCATAGCAAATACTGTATTTCAATCATTCCAGTACTGCATAAAGGAAGAAGAAAATCCAACAGTAACAGTACAAGCATGTGCATAGAATACTTAAGTTCTCCTATAATTGCACATTTTCTTCGATTATTTAATCAAGAACTGACAGAAGCCCTTTAAATGAAGCCATATAAATGATAACTTACTCCACTCATCACCTCTGTGTGCACATCTGCTTTCAACAAGGATCACCATAAACGTAAATGGCTCAGACTACTGATACACCTCAAAGAGTGAAACTATACATTAAAAAAATTAATGGAGTGCTAAAGACTACTAACGTTAATTAACAACTATTCTAGGAAGAGCACAATCAGGCATTTAGACCTGAAGCACAGAAAGCAGAGCCTTGCTTTCCTCCAAGACATCTTATGAAACTTGTACCAAATCAGTGATCTCATGTAAAGCCTGTAACATGGACTTCACACAGCATCTGAGAATTCTGTCTAGAAATGGAAAAAAACATTATCAGATCCTGAACTTCATTTCCAAGAGGTCAATCCACACCTTTATGCTCAAAGCCAGATAAAGCAGCTTTTCATTGCTCATTTACCCACCTCCCACTTCACATGTGAATCTTCATGATCAGTGCAGTTCTAGTATTAATTGACGTACAATGTTAACTAACAGAAATGCTGTTTTCTGGGAGAAGTTCATTCCAGGTCTGGTATAAGGGTACTCCTGAATTTTCAGTGCAATCTCAAATTTCAAGAAAACTTAGATGGTATACTATAGGCATCAATTAAATGTCCTAAATTTGTGAAGAAAATATAGTTTTTATAGAAAATGCCTGTGCAGAGCTGAATGCAGTGATGAGGAATTCTAGTCTTTCACACCCACTTTTCATTCCGGTGGTATTCATTACTAAAAAAGCCTCAGTAAGTAAAGGTCAGTGTATTTACTACTAATTCAATAAACAATATATGATACAGTCTAGTGACTAGAACATTGTTCAAACTTGGTAAGAAGTTGGTATTTATGGTTCTATACCTGAGTATGTCTGCAAACTTCTGAAAATGAGTAACTACCATGCTAAAGCTTTGAATTCTTTATCCCAAACAAATGTCTTGACCTTCTGCTCTAACCAATAAACAAACACACTGAAAGTAATGCAAATCTTGGACCATCACCTCCATGCTTGTAAAGCAGAAGGCACATTAAGAAGGAAATGTCTATTTTGTAACAGTTGTCAATCTAATGAAGAAATTGAGAATCTGTCACAGACATTAACACACCAATATCTAAAATCATTCCTTCTAAAGTTCTCTACTGCTGGAGAAACTGTCCTTAAATAGTAAAAAGTATGAGCATGCATAGCTGCATGAATGCTAAGTACTAATAAGTAGTTCCATTTCCAAGGTCAATATTCTTTTTATCTCAGAATGACTCACAAAAGTGTAATCAACCAAAAATATCCCAATTTACATCCCACTTTAATTTGTGTAGCAGTGACAAGCTGTTCCATTATCTGTAGTTCACAGATGCAGTAAAAGCAAGACTGACGGTCATCTTCTGCCTACAGAATATACAGTGTGAGGAATATGGAATTTCCATGAAATATATTAAATCTAAAATGCTACTTAGGTGTGTTTATTAATCCTGAAACTTTAACAAAAAATAACTTTCTGTCAGTACTAGATCATATTATGTTATCTGGCAAAGTGAAACTAAGTCTCTTAGAGGCTCCCATGTTGGAAGAACTACTAATTTTTATTTATTTATAGTGAAAAGGTATATATATATATATATATATATATTTTTTTTTTACCAAATCCCTTTCTTGGACTTATTGTAGAACAAAAATACCTGCTTTTAGATATCAAAAAGCCTTCACACCTTCCCCTCCCATCCCCATCTTGTTTCCTGTTTGGTAGTTGAATTTTAAGAGGCAAACTTAAAGGTTTCTATAACATCCTCACAACAATGCTCCATATCTCAGTTAAGAAAGATAAATCGGTATTTCATACATGCAAGGAAGATGCAGAGTTTGGACAACAATATTCTTCAATGGAAAGCATCAAGGTAAAGTGCAGTTTCCAAGAAAATGAGTTTCAGAGACATTGCCCAAAACAATGCAAATTCAACAAAAAACTTCATTAAAAAAATTATGCAACACTAAATGTGTTTCACTGCAAACATAAAAAAGTACTTGTCGGAGCAAATAAGCAAGAAATAAGACAATCTCCCAGAATTTAGAGCCCGGTTTTCTGAAATAACCAGAGATCAGAACACAAGAATCAAGTCACAAAGTATGTGAAAATTACGGATTGAAAACAGCCACTTTTAGGTTGTCCAAATCCAATAGATTTTTTTTTTTAAAAAAAAACCAGATCAATGAATGCCGTTCCTCACATACACAGAATTCAGTTGCATTCTTTACTAATTTAAAATTTGAGGCAGTCTTTACTTATTATAATCACACATATGAAGTTATTTTTCAGAAGTTAGGAGTATGTTCTAGGGCGGATTCTTCAAATTCCTTTCAGTAAAGAGTACTGGATGTGATGCATATTGCAAATTAAAAATACATTCACATTTCATCATGTCTTTGTTTCTTAAAAATTCAATTGCTTGAAAAGAACGGTGCCAGAATTCCCCAAATAATGCCAAAGGCATAATTTTTTTTTTTTTTTTTGGTGTAGTGCCACAGCAGTGGGAAATGTAGAATAAGAATTGTCCATATGTTAGTTTCATCTAATAAGCAGTCATTTAAATCAGTCTCTTAATGTAAGAAGACATGTGAGGTACGTTTCAGCACGTAGGTGTCTACAGTAAAAAAAAAAAAAAAATTCTGTAAGAATATGTATCCATGCAGACCTTTCATTGACGCACCACCAACAGAATTCATTCTTCACCCCGTCAGGAATGTTGACCTTCACTGTCAGGATCTTCAGATTTTCCCCTCGGTTAATGGCCAGAATCTGAGTGCAAACATAAATGGCAGAGACAGATGACACACAAAATATCCAAAAGATAAACTTATCAACATTTGTGTACGCGCTTGCTTGACATTCTGTAGCAAATCATGATGGTGGTACAGTAAATCAGTTCACCAAGTACTAGGTTGTACAGATAACATCCACAATTTAAACACAGATTAAATCATGCTGTGGCATAACAAAGCATGCCTTTTTTCCTGAGTCTGCAATCCCAAGATCCAGTTTTATCTTAAACACTTAAAAGCATAAGTCAGCACGAACTGAATTGGTTGGATAAATTATTACGACAAATTAAAACTCAAAATTGAGTTGAAAAAGTGATACAATCAGAACAAGAAGAAAAAAGTTAGTTCTATGCTTCATCCTACTTCCCAAGAGCATCACAAATTTAAAATTAATTATGAATCAGAACTTGAAACAAAAATGATCAGCTTCATTTGAAAGAAGATTAATTTCAGTTATTCACACTTCACTCATGAACAACTGAAAATGTTATAGGTATATTCTTTATATTAATATTAAGGCTCCAGCCTTACAGCGTATGCATATATTTCTGGCAGGCTTGTGTAACACAACTGCATCTTCATGGTGTGAACATAAATCTCATTGCAGAAGTGGTAACTGTATACAGATTTTTATTTCAAATAGGAGTCAGCATTTAAAACTAGGATGACAACCAAGTGGTGGATCCCAGTGGGTATCTCCTGGTCTACCCTCGCTCTGAAGATGAGAAGTAACCTCCTGAAGCAGACCTTCTAGTATTTTGCAGGGAAATTCACTGTCCATTTCAGAAACAAAGTAACAGTTAGAAGGAGCTACAAACAAAATACATTTTTAGAGTCCATTTTCCCTTCTGAAGTACTTTTAAAAAGTGCAAAAATAAAAATAAGAAATCTGCTACAAGTTGACATTCCCATATTACTACACATGTTGCTGTACGTAGCAGGCCCTAAGCACTGTCACAACAGAGCATTCTGTGTCAATCATGAACTTTAATTCAATCACTAGCTAACTCAGACATGTCACATATGTTAAATACAATGGTTTTAAATGACTCCAGGACATAGTACCAATTTATATTCCTCAGCCTTACTGCTCCTGTGACATACCAGGCCTGACATATCATTGAACAACAAAGCTAATAATAAAGATTGCATGTGAAATATTATAGCATCTGGTACCTTGACTGCCAAAGCAAATGTTTTCATGTAGAGATTAGAAAGACACATTTTAACAAATCAAATGCTTTCATGTTTATTCTGATTTTATTTTAAAAAAGCGAGAAAGCTAAATGTCAAGCTAAAACGAAATCAAAATGATGCTCAGGACAAAGAATGCATCTGATAGAATTATAATGTCATCATTCATCGTGCTGTTAGCAGGGTCAACATTTGCATCACATGCTGTCTATGGGCAACGTCTGTAGAATGTGCCAGTCACCTGAACTTAAAACAACTGCACAGCACTAACGCTCCCTTACATCTTTAATCTCATAATAAAAAAGCTAATCTGACTCTCCTCTTTGAAGTCATGTGTTCAGAGAAGGACTATCATCTAGGAAATGCTCAATTCAGAAAGCAATTAGTCAATTTCTCCTCTTAAGATAACACAGGTATTATTATTATTTAATTAAAATTCAAAAGAACTATTCTAGACAAAAGTAACCTTTCAGTTCTGGAAAACAGACTGCTTTTAATCCACACTGGAGCAGATCCAGAGGACGAGTTAATGGTGAAAAAATACACACTTTAAAGCAAGAACAAAAAGTGGATCTAGTTGCAAAATGCATCAAATCTAATTTTGTTTATCAGAAAAATGCAAAACCCTTTCTATCTCACAGCTCTCCTCTATGTCCCAGATTTACTTACACTCGCTAAGTTTCGTGTATTTTGCCAAGGACATTAATTTCCAATTCCTTTTTAAGTATGAGATAGAAAATAGAGCACTTGCCTCAAACTTTATACTTCGTGAATAAATTCTTTTCCTCCCACAAATTCAGACTTTTCCAAACAGAGGAAAGCAACTTCAAGGCATGCACAACAGCTGAAAAAATCAAATACACTCCTGAAGAACTTTTTCCTTAGTCGTGGCAGCATTTGCACATCCTCAAAGAGCCCATTTGGGTTCTCTGCTGCCAGTGGAAGGAACCATGGCTAAACTTCCTGAGAGCAAAACCTTCCAGCTGTAATTACCCACAGCCATCCAGCTGTGTCAAAACCTGGAGTTGGACTCATAATACAAACAAGTTTTCTTCTTTCAGGTTCAGTATTTTAACTTTTTCAGTCGGAATCTTGGCTCCATCTCTCCCAATTATTTCACAGTATGTCTCAACACATAGAATCATGCCTTTCAATAAACAAAGAATACACTAAACTACACACATGCAATTACAGATGCACACAGCTGCAGTCACAGAACCCAAATACAGCTTACTGCACACCATTCTACCTTTTAATATAGTTTTAAAGGCATTCTCACAGCTTCAAATGCTTTGTCATACAGTCTATCCTCTTATGGGTGACACTAGTCTACTGCCTTTAACCACAGGAACTCTAGAGATATTTAACATACATAAAAGTCTTGTAGGATTAGGATTTTTTTTATTTTTTTTTTTAAAACAAAGTCCTCTTCAAGTTTCAAGCTTCTCTACATTTTCTTTCTTTCTTTTTTTTGGTCCTGAACCAAACTAGAGTATTTCTTCAGTTGATTAAACCTACACATTTCCCAAAGTATATTCAAAAACCACCATTTTACACATCTTTCTGAATGCAGAAAAGACTTCAGTGAAGGAGATGCTAAAGACATAGGCATCAAAAAAGGAAGGTTCAAAACAAAGAAAAAAAGAAAAAATGATCATTTTTATTAGCAAGGTAATAAGGCTGTGTAATAAAGAAACTGAAAGTCATGAGAAAGACTTCGAGAACTGCAATATTACAGTATAGGCTAAAGGAAGAAATGGCAGATTAAAAGAAAACACCACCCCTGTTTTTCTTCCCTTATTTTATCATCAAAACACAGAAGTTAAAGAAATGAACTGGAAAACAAATAAGGAAGCAAAAAATCAACAAGAAATAGAACAAAATATTTTTAGAAAACAAGCGACTTAAAACACAAAGTGCACACATGCTTTTTTTCTCTTTCTTGTCTAGCATAAACAAGCACTGACATACCCAGGGCCTCAGTGAACTGCAAACAACTGACTTAAAGATTTATGCCGGAGAAGTAATCAATACATTAGGATAGGCAATAACAGTAATAGACAGGAAACGAAAGACTGCAAGTAGGACTGCAGAATCACCCAGGAGCAGCAGCAGCAACAACAGTGGTTATTTCTTTACTGGAGAGTAGAAACTGGCACAGAAGCATTAAGGTTACTGAGAGACAAAAGGAGAAATAAACCAAAACAGACTGAATTAATCTTAACATCAAAACCACAAAATCAGTACACATCCTGGATGATAAACAATGCAGCCACAGGGTCAGAGGGCCAATCAGGTTTGAGAAATCTGGTTTTGAGTCTTGTCTCCATCTGAGCAAGAGTTTTCCTCACTGGTGGAAGAAAAGGATGCCTTGTCCAAGAAGTAATTCATATCAGAAAACACTTGTATGCCCAATACAACCTGCATATAGAGATTGAACATTTAAAGCTCTCAATGCAGGAAAAACTATATAGTCTTTGGCTGCTGAAGTATCCATTCAATAGAAGAACAACCAAACAAGGCGCAAATTTTTTCTCACCTAAGAGCATCCATACTGGGATGTCCGGGGAAGCGTGTACAAAGTTAGCTCATACATGTTGTGAAATGTTTTTCATAATAAATTCATTTCCACACACACAAGAAAATCCTTTATTAACTCAAATATCTCACTGTTTTAAAATGGCAAGGAGAGAAAAAAAGAGTAAACAACAGATATTCTGCAATGCAATAAGGCAGGCAAAGGATATTTTTGGTTAGAAGCAGCCGACACTGTTTTTTGCTTGTTTTAGAGCTACACAACCATGACCAAACTAGAAGACAAATCACTAGCTGATTAATGATGAATTAGAGCAAAGGGCTTGACAACTGTATTGAGTACATCCCACTGCAACCTTTGAAGTGCAGTAACTGGGGCAGCCTTACAAAACATCAGTTTATCTTCACTCAGTAAGCTTATTTTGTAGCCCATTACTTTTCCTAGCCATATAGATCAGGGCTTGGAGTGTGGGATAAATTAAGGATGTATGAGAGGAGGGAATGCTGACGACATGCAGAACACACTCGTTTTCAGGGGCAATGCACAGTTCCATTGAGCCTGTTTGGATTGTTTAACTTTTACATTAAGCTGCTGCTGACAAGAGCTGCTTTTGTAGATCACCTCTGATTTCAGTTTTCTGGATCCTCCCTTGACACTTTTCACCAGCTTAACCTGACAGGCTTAGTACTAAATGCTTGCTTCAAATACTTATGCTTTAACCAAGCACCTTCCAATACTATGTAACATCCTATTTTCACCCTGTACAGATGATAAATTATCACTCTGCCTTTATACCTCTCCTGATAACACTTGCCACACACTCATCACTGGTGGAAGGGAAGGTGAGCATGGCACACATGCTGAAAATAAATCACACCAGTATAAAAATTCCAATACCTAAGCCATTATAAATGTTCATTCAATAAGAATTAGTTAGACAATAGACATACTGAAGACATGGATGTCTGTTCTGTTTCTTAATGAAAAGATTAACATCTCAGACCTGTGTTTGAAGAATTTGAAACACTATTGCCTTTGATAACTGGAAAGGAAAAAAAAATAATCAAGAATCATTTAAATCAGTTTCAAGCAACAAAATCTGAAAGCAAAGTCACCCATGCTACAGCTACAACTATAAGAAGAAAATAATTTGTAGGAGTACCTGATGATGCTGAATGTTCTTTATATTACAAGAAAACTCATGGTATATTTGAAATTTATCAATATCTTTTTCATTGCTATTTTTGGATGACACTTTTGCCAATGCTGACTGGATACAAATGTATCTTTGCTGGCATCTGAATGAAAGAAACAAATGTTATTAAGTTACTTCAGCATGAAACATGTAAAAAGTCGTTAGTGTTTGTATTAAATAAAAACCAAAGTTTGCACTATTATAAACTACGTCAACTCTGTAATCACTTGCAGACTTTAATGCAGAGGCTGACGTGACATATATACTGACTTGGAAAACACTAAGAGAAGAAATTCAGAGACATCAGAAAAAGCTGAACGCTGCCTTCTCATGAAAGGAATGGACAATCAAAAGCCACCATCTGTACTTCAGTTTGGTCAACTTATTCTAGAAAGTTTTGGGAAGTTGCAAAAAATGTTACAGTAATCATTTACAATATAAAAATGCAAGATCTCATTTGAATCTCAGAACTCATTTCTTGTTTTGATCACCAAACACACTCAGAACTTTCCACTGCTTTATTTTTATGAGTAACAGAGATTCCAAAGATAACCTCCTAAATGATTCTTATGATTATTATATATGTAATAAACAGTTTAGATCAAAAAGATTTATCTGCAAAGAACTGTGTATTCAATAATACCAAATGGTCAAAAGAATGAGATAGCCTACTAGTGACAGGATATCCGTTATAAAACATCCCCTTCATTGAAATTATCACATCACCATGCTCTAGCCTTCTGATGAAGTTGGCTACTCCAATAATTTTTCAGTCCTTGGGAATCACAGTACCTCATTATGTTCAGAAGAGATTACTCTTCCACTGAGAGTGAAATGGGCAGAAATGCTTAAAGAATGAAAGAATGTCCCAGCACAAGTCAAGAAACATATAATGCAACCTTACAATAACACTGTTTTCACATTATTAGAAAAACTGAACCTGCATGCTAGGAGACCAAATTTTACCATGTAACCTAGGAAGTTTATGAAGTAAAATTTAAACTTACAATCTCCTGATAAAATCCAGCGTATCTTTATCCTTAGCAAAGATATCTGCTAGAATATGCTGAACTCCAGCCTCTACTTCCTGAATATTTGCAAGCCCTTAGAAGAGGAAAAGAACAGTCAGTAATTATTTAAAAAACTAATAAAAATACACAAACATATAAGCACTTGGGAAATACATACAAGCTGAAAAAAATTCATGCAAATTATCAATCAGATTTATAGACGTTTTGATGAAGAATACTTGTTCACTGATTTTTTTTTTTTAAACAGAGCTTCCTTTCCAAGGCATCTGAAACTACTATATTTTTATTGAATATAAACTGACTAATGCAGTCTCATAAATTGAAATGACATTAAAAGTAATAATTTTATTTTATACTAACAGATTGTTACGTTTAGGATACAGATTAATTATTTCCATTAGTAAAATTGAATACTGAAGTATAATTTGTGAGATTGTAGTGAGACAATCATAGTAGAAGGTTACACATTTTGCTCTTGATATGTAAATGGCCCCAGATCCTCACAGGTAATTCTGTCCTTTCCCTTTGTAATAGTTTTATACTTCCTTTGGTTTATAGCAGGAGCTTGTACAGTGACTGTTCTCAGGTCCAGGTACACTCACTCTCTCCCACAAAACACTGTTCAAAGAGTAAAGTTACAAAATGTCTCTACAGACAAATTATTACAGGGACCCAACAACAGAATCATTTAAGCTCACAGAACCATCCCCCACTTCTAAATAACACATTATTCCACCTCGCACTGTAATTATTCTTCACCAAAATAAATAAAAAAATAAAATATAGTATTTTAAAAATCAATCTATATAATCCTATTCCTAACAGTGGTCAGTAACAAATGCTTCAGAAAAAAAAGCACGAATCCTACTTTGGCAGGGGCTGGATTAACCACCTCCCACAACACACAATTCGTAACTGCTTTCTGATAGCCTAGAAGTATCTTGAAAGAGATACTCTTGAGTCATTTTTAAAAAATTTGCATAGCTGATAACTAATACTTCTACTGAATTCTTAACCAGTAGGAAGCTGAAGGCACCTTTTCACTGTTGGGTTACAGCAGATGGAGAAAATTCAATATTTGTCTTCTCTAGACCACTTTTTTTTTTTAAACATAACTTAAATAGAGCTGATGAAAACCTTTCTGCACAACAAAGCACTCATCCCTTTAACAAAGATTCCCTCTGATCTCAAGCTGCTGTCAAACTAGTTTTCAAGTTGATAAAAACGATCCTATTTCTGTGTGTATATACATATATACATACAGTTTCTGATGCACTGCTCAAATTAAAACGATTATATAAACCTAACTACACTATTTTTAGCACAAAAATGAAAATAAGTACACTGACTTAAAAAACTGAAATGCTGCAACAAAGAGGACTCCTTTAAAGGACTCCTAAATAATTTATTTGAACTTTCAAAGTGAAGATTTTATTTTGGCTCTTGAGAAGTCCAGAATAGCCAAATATGTGGTTGCAATATCCCACTTTATGAAATAATGACATGTTTTATTTAAAAACTAAATAGTAACTAAATAATCAGAATAGTTGGTAACTGATTTTTCAATGCGAAGTTGAGAACATTTTATAAATAATATTTAAATAAAATAGAACAGCTGAATTTGTAAGAGTCAGAATCAGCCTCACAAGGAATTTCACCGCTTTTTTGTTCAAATTCAAAAAGTATCAGAGGAGGGAAAAGAAAAACAATCTCACTTTAACACCACTCAGAGGGTTGTAACAATTTCCATGTTTTATTGTCAGAGATTGCCCCCTACAGATTCAGCTATAACTGCACTCACAAGGAAACAATTCTGTAGTCTATGTATACAGCAGATTGTTTGAGCTCCTGCTCAAACTTCAGAGATTAAAAATCCTCTCTAAGCACTACTGCCATGCCATACAACAGCAACATTTCTCCTGCTCATTTCAAGTCACCAAGATCAGCTGTTATTAAAATATACTCTGATAGATTAAATTAAATTTAGTAAACAGTATGAGCATAGTCTTTTCATTAGTTGACATTCAAGTACAAGCAGAACCACAGAGATGTCTCAGGTATGAACTAACCCTTCTTTCTCTTAACAGTAAATACAGACTTGGACTATACTCTAACACCTCCCAGACTTCTGACTCTTGCATTACAAGAAAAAATACTATTTATAATGTAAAAAGACAGGAAAGGGTGGGGAGTAAATGTAAGTTCTATTGTGTCTTGCTAAAAGGTGCAAAACAGTCTCTTACAGTGAGGATGGTGAGGCACTGGAACAGGCTGCTCAGAGATGTGTTTGATGCCCCATCCCTGGAGACTTCAAGGTGAGGCTGGATCCACCTCTGGGCAACTTGATCCAGCTCTGCATGTCCCAGCTCACTGCAGGGACTAGATGGCCTTTAAATGTTCCTTCCAACATTAAGGATTCTATGATTCTAAGATCTCTGGAATTTAAAGTAGTTGTATAACTACTAATAACCTACATACAATTAACATAATTCCCATCATAGAAACTACCGAAAGTTTAGGATACTGCTGCTCATAGAAGCAAAGTGCTTACCTTTGGTATTGGGTCTAATATAAGAGAAGAGGTTGAGTGCCATAGGACTCTGCAGAAGAGAAAGAGCTGCAGGTTCTAATCCCAGCTGCTTGGCTCTCTGGGCTTTGGTGCCTTTACTCCCCATTTTATAAGGTGTAGTCTTAAAACAAAAACAACAGTTACTAAAAGGCATAGAAATATTTAAATCACACTATTGGCATTACTTAATGTGCTATTTAGTAATGCAAGAATACATTTAAAGTAAGGATAATTTAAAAAAAAAAGATTAGCATACTGACCACATGGTCCAATTCTTCCAAAGTTCTGCAATTTAACAATGATGTAAATAGGCATCCTGATAGTTTCCCTTCTTTCTTCAACTTCTGTATCATTGTATGTGTCTTCTTAGCAACAGTACTAAAATACAAGATTCATATTATCAGCCACACTTCACGGTGGATTAAAGTGCCTTTTAATTATGACTTTATCTAGCACAGTGCTAAAGCACTCAGAAAAGGATTCTCAAGATCGAATCTCACACTAATCTTCAAAACTTGACAACTCAAAGAGTTCCTATTATTCTCTTTCTTTAATTAATTCAAAATTGTATCAAAATATGTTGCGGTGGCCTTAAGAAAATTAATCAAATAATAGTCATAATCATTAATGTTATAAACTTTTTTTTTTTTGCAAAATTGGTGGCTTTAAAGCCAAAAAAGGAAAATTCAAAGATAAATCCGTGTCAATGAGCACTAATAGCTGTAGTTTTTATCAAGATAGTTCTGCAGCATGAAGTGCAAGGTACCACTTTCTAAGCTCTTAAAACGTTTTGTAAGGTACCCTGTGACATTATCGTATTGCAGACAGTAAAGGTATTTTGTTATTATTTAACTAACTTGTTCAGACTATCTCAGGCCACATTCCCTCTTTGGAAAAAGTCTTCTCCTAGAGGATATCCACAGAGTATGAGTATATCCAAATGCAATGATCCAGGATGGTTTAACCCACTCTCCTGGTATACTACAGTTTCAAGTAGTACCCATGACTAGCAGCTTTGCTGTTCCAGGCAGGGAGTTGAGGGATTCTTAACAGTTTTCAAGGATACAGTTCACATTTAGTTGGACTACATATTTCCAGAATTCATAAGCTACTAAAATTCCAGGCAGATTAATATTTTATTTTTTCTTTGACAATAAATGATGTTAGATTACTTGTTACTTAGAGTGAAAAAAACCAGACAAGGCACCAAGCATAGTTACCTCAGCTTTAAAATTTCTTCTTTATTAATTTCTTCATAATTGCAATGTGTACAAAATGTCAAAAGAGGGGATACAGAAACAGCAGCAGGCTGCTTCCTACTCACCTCCTTCTCCAGATACCTCCTTCCATTTGCTTACTTACCGTAGCTCTTCTAATGTTTGCTGCACTTCTCGCAAGGCATCAGCCTCCAGATTATTGATGAGCTCTTTTCGATACCGAACAATGAAAGGAATTGTATTTTCTTCTTTAAAGAGGCGAATTAAGTTTGCACATACCCATGGCTCAACATTTGTTCTATCTGACAAAACCTGCCACAAGCAAAAAAATAAAAAATAAAATGAATTAAAAAACATTTCAGAAATGCAGTAGGTTACTTCGAAGACCCTCTTAATCAAGTTCTAAGCCAAATCCAGAATAATGTTGATCAGCAGCATCTACTGTCATCTCTAAAACGGGTTGTGAGGTTCCCCATGCACCCAACCACCACAACCAGTGCTTCAAAAGCAGACATGTAGCAATCAGCGGTTCCAAAGTCTTGTAACTACAAAAAAAAGGGAAGAAAAGAGTAAAAAGGAGTCTCTCTTGGAAACAGAATTTAAAAGAAAAAAAAAAATTAAAAAAATAAATCATTAAGAAACAAACCATCTAACTCAAAAATTCTGAAACAGTTCCTTTTAAGCCAATCTCACACTTAAACAAAACAAAAGAAACCCAGAGATGATCCTAATTCCATTCTGCCAATAGTCAGAAACTAGCACAGCATTACTACAGGTTTCAAGATGGATCAAATTTTCTACCTTTTTATGCAGGTAGTACTGAGTATGATGAATAGGATATACCCAATCTATTCCCATGCAGCTCATATTAAAATGTTCCATAGCAATAGCCAGTCTCCAAGAATGAGAGCTGTCTTTATTTGAATGGCTCCAAAGTTAGCATCCTACAAAAGCAAAGATGATATCTTCCTTGATGTCACTGTTGTTCCAAGGGAAGCAGCTGAGAGAACTGTGATTTTTCAGTCTGGAGAAGAGGAGGCTCGGGAGACCTTATCACTCTCTACAATTGTCTGAAAGGTGGTTGTAACAAGGTGGGGCTTGGCCTCTTCTCCCAGACAACTACCGATAGGATGAGAGGTAATGGCCTTAAGTTACACCAGGGGAGGTTGAGGTTGGATATTAGGAAAAAATTCTGCTCAGAAAGTGAGTTGAGACATTGGAACTGGCTGCCCAGTGAAGTAGTCAAGTCACAGTCCCTAGAGCTGTTCAATAAATATGTATATGTGGCACTTATGGGACATGGTTTAGCAGGCATGGTGGTGAGGGGTAGACAATTCAACTTGATCATCTTAGAGGTCTTTTTCAGCCTTAATTAGTCTATGAATTCTATTAATTCCTCCTTCATGGTAATGCAAATTGATATACTCAATCAGGTGAACCTTTACAATAATGCTTCACACTAACTAATCTTAAAATTCTGAAAACCCAACTCTTTCAGCATGCATTCCTGTAGGAGGTTCAGTAGACCACATCTACCCAAAAAGAAATGAACGAAAAAAAACCCAACACAACAAACCACATGTGCTAATAAGGAAAAAACATGCAGGAACCTACTACAAGCAAGCTCAGTACTAAGGACTGCATAAGCCATAGATGTCAGAAAAATGTTAAGGTTTGAACTTCTAAGTTATCTACCAACATTCACATGTGTATTATGACAATCTAATCAGAGGTTAAGTGAGTACTTCACAGCACAATGACTCTGACGTTCCAACTGATGCCAAGAGGATTCACATTGTGTGTTAGATTGCAAAATCAAATTACGTAGGAAATTGTAACACTGACACTTCAAAAAAGGAAAAGATCTCATACCTGTACAATATCCCAGTTCATTTCAAATTCTTCTTTCACTTTATTGCTTCCTAGACTTTTTACCGGCTTTCCTTCAGGAGATGTAGCTGATTTCATCTTTTTTAAAGGTGGTTCATCAAACGCAAAATCCTCCTCAGACTTCTCATGTTTTACTTGATTTTCTACTACAGGAGCACTCGTTGAAGGTTTTTCATCACTCTCTAAATTCTTTACATTCATTCCTTGGAATGGACTTACTTCAGGTTTTTTAGGCAGTAAAGGCATTTGCTTTAAAGTGTTCAATTTACTGCCTACGTTTTCTTCCTTTTGAAGTTGTATCTTATTATCTTCTGCAGGAGCAATAGGCAACGATACATCCTACCAAGAAGATGTGAAACTGTATTAAGCACAGACTGATGTAAACGAGCTTAACAACATTTCAATTAAAACCACAGAAAACTTGAAACCAGATATTTTCTCCAATGATGTCTCTGTCTGGCCAAGATAGACATCATTAAGTGACATGAAATATTCCTTGTGTGGAAGAAAAGAAAGAAAAAACATACCAAACAGAGCCATGATTTGCAAGATCAAATTTAACTATCTGGGCAAGATTTATTCAGGGCTCTCCTTCAAAAAGGATACTGACCTACAGAGCTTACCTCCGCTAATCTGAACAAGATTGGGAATAGCGTGGCAAGGAAGCACACTTCCAATAGAATACAGGGTGCAGAACAGGGACTGGAACTACGGTTTCATCTGCTAAGATACTGTCTAGCCTTAAACAAGCCACACATTCATTCCTCAATTTCCTGAGAGATTTTTAGGGTCCGAGAACGTGTTTTTCAATATGCCACATACATCAAAACATTCAGTAATGTTAATATAAACTAGAAGGACTAGCTTCTGTCATGACCTAATCTAACTCTTCATATTAAACTTTGACAATAGTAACAAATTTCTGATAGCAGTGTGTCTTATATTTATCATAACTTCTATTCTTACTGAGTTGAACAACCATGCAAAGAAACTTAAGTACAGGCCTTCTTTTTGTTGTGGCACTGAGCTGGTAAAAACATAGAAGATACCAAAGGTGCAAGACAGAAACCAAAGTCAAAGAGACATTAGAATGTTTAGGTTTTGTTATAGAAAGAATAGGGATTTTATTTATTTCTGTTGTAGAAAGAGAACTTCATAGAAGATCAAGTCAATAACCAGTGGCCAAAATTTTAAAGGACAGGCTTTTAGATTTGGAGTACAAATACGCAAGAAAGCCATGTTTGTCATACACAGTGTTCAAAGTAAAAGTGGAATCAGTGATCCAATATTCAGTCAGGCAACCAAGTGAACCAGAGTCGGAAAAATTCTGATTATGTTATTTGCCCTCCACAGACATTAAATTTCTCCTGCTTGCAGACAGACACTCACCATTTCCTTTTTTATTGCTATCTTCTTGACTTTTTTCCCAGCCACTCTTGACCGTGGAGCAGCAATTTTTTTAGGTTTTACCTCATTTTTCTTCAGCAACCGAGGTCTCTTGGCAGTTTTGCTTTTTGGCTCCCATTCCTCTTCTTCCTCTTCTGATTCAGAGCTCCTGGAAAAACAAACAAGTAAACAACACTGTTAGTTAGATGAATAGAAAGTACGTAAGAAAGCCTGCCTGGGTGTTTTCTGACATTAAAGAAAGCGAACAGGAAAAGTGAACAGAAAAGAGGCAGACTCAAAGAACACAGGTCTTTGATTCTGTTGCAGTTAGCGGCTGGAACAATTCATCAGGTTTTCCTGAAGGTGGTCACTAGCATGCATACACGTTTGATTCTGTTTGGACAACTGGCCCAAACAGTTTCAATTCAGTTTCACCCTATCATCACTGTAAACACAAAACAGAAAAAGTAATTTGTGTTTTTTACAACTGAACAGAAGCTTTATGAATTAATTTTATCCAACCTCCCAGAAACCGAGTGTTATTCTTATTCTACCACTCAAGCTTAGTACAAACCTTTGAAGAAAACTGTTGTAAACATATATGCAAAAAAATAAATACCAAAGAAAATACATATAATGTATAAACAACACACACACAAAACCCACAATCTAAGAAAGCAGCAATCTTACGAATTAAGAAATGAGGGTAGTTCATCAACTTCTGATGTAGGGGCTTTGGCTTCAGATTTCACCCTCCTTGGTAGAGATGTCATCTGAAACAGAGTAGAGAAGAGAGAAATCAAACATTTGATTGAAGTTAACCTCTTACTCAGTCCTTTAATTCCCTGCCAAGTACGTCCTTACAACATCTTCACCAATCAAAAATCTCCTCCAGATTAAGTTCACATTTCATAGTATCCAAGAATTCAGGCCACAGCAGCAGACATTCAACAATGATTTCAACTAAGCCAATAAAGAAACCAGCACTAAATTATTTTTCTCAATTGGAGATAATTATTCCAGCTGCATGCAAAGCTACCCTAGCAAAATGAATACTGGTTCTCAGATGTATTACTGTGTGTTATGTACTGTGCCAGTCCTGCCTCCTTCAGTCTTCTAAGAAACAATAAAAAGAAGATCCAATAATGTAAGCTAGCATATGGTTTTGATGTGAACAGTATTACAAGAACATTTTCCATTTAGATCTTGAATTTCATCTTTAAAGACTAGTTGTTGCTTGTGTGCATATTAAAAACAAAAGTTTCTTGTATTCTTCATAAAGCAGTTCCAGAATTATGTTACTTAAGTGACAGTTGTCAACACCATAACAGAAGAACTATTGGAGGCCTGTATCAATTAGCACAAGGTATTAGTTTGTTTGCAATGTACAAGTACTTAGTAAATATCAGAGGCAAGAACAGGTCAACTCTCCTGTGCTGTTTCATTGACTGAATTGCTATTGTGTGAATGGTCACAACACAGGTATATCACAGGAAGACAAATCTCCACTGAACACACAAAAAACTACTTTATTACCTTATTAGCTTTCTGCTGACTTTTCTTCTTCACTTGGAGTCCTGAGACAACTGGCAACTTCAGCCAGATGCTCTGCTCTCCCTTTTTCTTTGCTCTTCACAGCTAAACAGTTATTATCACAGACCTAAATTAACCATACATTTCTTCCTGTTGCCTCAGGAGCATGAAAATAATGTTTCCATTTTATATTGTATTTTAATCTGTGAAAGGAAGTATCAAAAACATTATTCATGTTTGCAAAACAGAGATTTCTAGAATTAAGTAACACATTAGTCAGATGAATTTCTGATTTTGCAGGCACAGGGATGCTTTTTAGAATGGTCAAATTTTACAGTTCTTTCCATTTTCAAACTCGTATTCACTAGAATACACTAGATTAAATATATCACTATCAGTCAAGCTCTTTCAGCTAATCCAACTAGTATTTTGGGGTGTTCTAGGCAATTTTTGAAGGTAGTAACCAGCTTTTAAACAGTCAAAACAGCTTCTTCATGATCACTTCTTCACCACAGGAGGAAAAAGGAACAAATCTGAGGTGAGCATTCCCCTTAGGTAACACTGCTCTTCTGACTTCCCTGCAAGTTTTGGTCACTCAGCATGTTACCTAAATAGTTTTGAGCTTGCTCAAAAGCCCCAGTAAAAGGAAAAACTCATTTGGATTACTTTTTTTTTTTTTTCCTGCTAGTATTTCCCTATCACCTCAAGTGTCCAAGAGCCAGGTATCTAAGCATCTCAATATTTGTATTCCACGCTAAGCTAGAACCAGGGCAAAACTAAAGTTTTAACTCTACTTTCTGTCAGTTAAATCTTTGACTCTTGGTGTGAGCACAGGAATAGGAGATGAGGTCCCTTTTTTATGAAGCCAGACATTTTCCATGTTCTTAATAAACAGATTAGTATTTGCTCCTGCATGCTTAAGTCTTTATCCAGCACACCAAATGAAGCAGAAAAAAATACAGCAAATATATATAAAAAAAGAAAGAGCATAAGAAAGCATGAAATAGAATAGAAAGTGATATGCAATAAGGCTAAGTTTCTATGTAAAAATTCAATGTTTACTTTTCTTTTGCTTTTGATCTCCCAAATTTTCCATGTACAAAGTATTTTGACTGCTTTCTCCCCATTTAATGCAGTCCTTCACAAAACTAGAGAAATATCAAATACGTGTGGCCAGAAGATCAGATCAGCACAGAACCTGTCCTCTGCCCCACCCATCAGTAATGTGCCACTTCTTAAATACAGGTACTGAGATAGGACTGGCCTCAGATAGATTCATAGTATTTAATTAAATAGTAAAAGTTTAGTTTATCTACTAGATTTTCTACAGTAACTTGTTCCTGAAAGCATTTGTACATACACTTAAAACTAATTTGGACTAACATAATTTGTGAATATTAAGTACAACACTTATTTCTATATAACTCTGTGAAATAGACAAGCTATGGTCAGAAGCTAAAATGGAATTATACAACTCTACAGCCCAAACTGAATACCCTAGACCATCAAGGGTATCAGAGCATGGGGTATCACCAAGGAAAAAGTTGGGATACTTCAAGGTGAGGTGGGGTCTAACCAAAAACAACTCCTCTTCTAATACATGTATACACCAAACTAGCTATACTCCTAGAAAAATAATCTTTTGCTACATATATTCTTTTTAATTTGCATAGAATCATCTTTTTAAGTCCACAAACGTATTTATGATTCCAAATTGTCAGACAGCTGTCTGCTAAATTTTACTTCTGAGCTGCACTAGAGTGTGCTAACACCCACAGTTAATGACTAAGAAAAACAGTCCTTCCGTGATTCACTGCAGAGGGAGGCAGGGAAGACAAGAAAGCAATGAGTCTAAATGCCACTGGTGATGATGAAAAGTTTTATTATTTTCTTCTTAAGCTTAAGCTTTTTTCTTTTTTTTTTTGTAAGTGAAGCAAGGCAAGAAGACTCAAGAAACAAACACAGATATGCTTCACAAGGGTACCTAAAATGCTCACTGCACAGACTAGACAACAAAGCACTCACAAGCCATTGCCTGCTCTGTTCTCCATTACTACTTAGATGTGAAGTAGAAGTTTGGAAGTAGACTTTCCAAGACAAGTGAAAAGTGACAAATTTCTGTCCCAAATGCTGAGTGAGTTAGGAAGGGCTTCATTCACCCCACAGCACACTGGAATCAAGACAGCATGAAGTTGGCCTCTCGTCTATTATATTCTCTGGTTAAACTGACCTCAGTGGGAAAACTGCCTTAATGACTTCCCTCTCTGTAGCCTCCAGCTAAGTGAAGGCCGTTTCTACCTCAGGAAAGAAACTATAGCTTATACAGAAATGTGTTCCTTGCCCAAATCCAAAAAGCAGGAGAGCCAATTACATGGCTGACTTCTCGAAAAATGAAGAACAGAATTTATGCCAGAGACAAGTCAGAACACATGGTTTTCCCTCCCTACCTGAGCCTCTGTTCAATGCTGCTGTACCTTATGGCAAGTGCTTGCAGTGCCTGGATTCCTGGCACCTGTCATATTCAGCACCCACAGGAACTAACCAGCAAGGCACACAGCTAAGTTAACCACACTGTGTACCATTTCACTGCCCTGCCATTTAGTGTTTTGAACTCCTACAACTCGGTTCTAGCAGCTCTCCCTAGCAGCCAAAGCCAGCAAACCTCCAAGTGATGTTTGTTAGCATATTATTTTTAGTTATTTTATGTGCTAGTCAGAAGTTTTGTGGTGATTAAAAATGCCCTTCCCTAAGAAAAAGAGCTCTTACCAACCATCTCACCAATAGTATTTTTACTTAAGTTTAAAGCCAGAAACTTCTGCCTTACACAAGTACTTTAACACCTGCCTGATTTCATTTCAGATCTGTCCCTGCACAATCTTCTGAGCAACAGGCTGAAATTGTACACAGAACCTTCATTCTCCATTCAAGGGAACCAATACTCTTCTGCTTACCCATTTCCCTATCTCTCATCTATTTAAATCATTGCTATTGTAGAAAAATATATTTTGCTGGCCACTCTCTTCTTCCCACCATTTCTATTCTCTCCACAGCTCCACAAAATATCAGCTGTCCCGATGGCTGTAAATAGGTAGCTTCTCCCTGTCTGACAACTAACTCTCCAAAATAAGGCTAGTGTAGTTCAGAGTTGGGCCATACCAGGAACAAAGAGAAGTGACAGCATAGTTCTTAGTATGCCCCACTCTATAGAAACCTAGTATCAATTTACACAAAACATATAGCAGGGAAGTAACCACTGACCTGCTTTTAAATTACAGTTGTAGGCAGCCTGTAGGGTAGAAGCAGACTAGGCCTATAAGGACATTATTTTGTTCAAGGGCAATCCAGGTTTCATTCAGAAACTCTAAAGGGATGATATTCTTTCCATTCACTCTATTCATGCAAAGATACAGCCCACTAAAAGTAAATTTCATCAAATGTGAATCCAGGTGGCATAAGCAACTATTTGTAAAATAATTTAAACTCCTAACAATTAGAATCAGATGAAAAAGCCTCTCTAAAAAAAATAAAACCAAAATGGTATTTAAAAAAAAAAAATGCCAACAAAACCCATCACTACCACAAGGCTGGTAGCTCAACTGCTAGAGCTACAACTTGCAAAATTAGAAATTGCTTCTCTGATCCTAACAGAGTGATGTCTTCTACAGTGATACCTTCCCTATCTTCTAAGGAAAAGAGTTGTAGAAAATATTCTACTCTTTGAAGCATGATCAAGCAAATGTCATCATGGTAGGCTTACATCTCACAGCCTTACTACACAAAGTGACATAAGCACCTCATAAAGAGAAAGAGAAATATAGATGATAGAAGATCTATACCAAGATCAAAGACAACAAAGGCACTGCACCTTAAAACCCAAAACTTTTTCTACCTGAAGGTACAATATTTACAAAACAAAACTACTAAAAGCCAAACATACACTTGGAATTTTATTCCAGGACCTGTGAAAAAATCTTCTCCAGCAGAAAAGAACACTGAAACTTCTAAAGCTTTAATTCAAAATAGCACATTCCTTCCAGGAAGGAAGTCTGTCTGTCTTCTCAATCACTGCTCTGCTGCCTCTGATTTTGTAAGGTGAAGAAAATGCAAGGATAATAACATTTCACAAGTTGACTTAAAGCACGTAGTCCTAGCCAACCAACAGCTTATTATAACACCAAGCATCTGGAGCAGGACAGAAAAAGCACTGCAAATCCCACATGACAAGCGGATTTCAGACCATTATTAGCAGCACCAGTACAACGCCCCCCTCTGATAACCCTATGGAGGCTTTAACAGTTGGATTTTGCTCATCGTTTTAAAGCACCTCCACTGTATGCTAGAACTAAGATGAAAACACGTGAGCATACAGTCAAGCAACAAAGAGGAGAAAATGAGGCACAGACCAGTGGTAAGGAATTGTACTGAAATTATTCTATGCTCCACAAGGTTTTTGTCACCTTTAACAACTACGTTGTACTTCAAACATAAACTCAACTTACAGCGATCCTCCTGAGACCAAAACCTTGGAGAACTGCCAGGCGTACTGCACAGCAAAGCTGGCGCAGCAGATTTCCAAGGACTTTTTCTCCTTCACAAAGTCGGTCAAGGCTACCTAGGAAAGGGATCAGATGCACACTGTGTGGGCTCCAGAGCCACCTGGGAAGTTAAAGCCAGAGACAGACAGGTATAAGGCACACGCATACAGAAAACAATCCGCAGCGCTAATCACAAAAGAAAAGGTGTATGACTGCTAGGAGATGCAACAGAAGTATCACCACAACGGCAACACGTCAAGGCTACACCCTAATGGAGAACAATTCACCCAGACCCGTTCTTCTCGTTGTGAGGAATCAATCCTGGGGACATGAGGGACGTAAGATAGTGCTGTCACTGAACTGGGAGAGATGCCTCGTAAGGAATGCCTGAGCACCTCCGTGTGCTTACCAGACTGTACACAAGCAGGTGACACTAGCCCAAGCAAGGCTAGGGGGGGCTGTTCTGCTTCAGGACAGCAGCCGGCAGCGTGTTAGCGGCTCCCTCCAACCCAGCAAAGCAGCCATAAAGCAACACTCCCATTCGGTTTAGTTTAAGGAGCTGCCTTATTTCCTAAAAGACAACGAAGTCGTGCACCTCTTCCCTTTGGCAACGACCGCAGAACGCGTGACCGTGCCGCGTCACTGCACGCCAAGCACCAGCGAGCTGTGAGCAGAGCAGAGCAAAGTCGGTGCTCTGTCATCCGCGAGCACCGCACCGCTGCTCGTGGCCCAGAGACGCGGCCGGGCTCCAAACACCCGCTGTGCACTCGGAGCCCAGCTCTCTACCCCGGAACCACCTCCCGCGCCGTGACACGCTGCCGGCCGGGCGCAACTCCCCTCCGGGAGACCCGAACGGCGGAACAAAAGAGAACGTTCCGCGGCCAGCGAAGCCCCCGGGGCCCACAGGCCGCTCTCCGCTGCCGCCGGCAGCCCTGCCCTGCTCGTGCCCGCGGCCCAGAGCCCCGCGGAGCGGGCGGAGTCCCCAAACTTTACCCCTGCTGCCGCGTTTGAAAGGGCCGCCAGGGCCGCCGCGGCGGAGCCGGCCGCGCCGCGGGGAGGAGCAGGAAGCGGCAGCCGCGCCGCGTTGCAGGAAGCGGGCAGCGAGCGGGGCGGGAAGGCCGCCAGCCCCGCCCTCCGCTCCGCCTCGCGGTGCCCGCGGCCGGCGGGGTGGCGGCCCCGCTGGTCCTGTCCGTCGGGACCACGCGGCCACATGGGGTCCGCCGCCGTCAGGGGGCGCGGGTGGCCGGTTTCTTGGGATGGGACTGGGACCCGGGTGGGGGTAGGGAATCGGGCTGGGTGCGTTCGGGCTGCTGACGGTCATGAGCCTGAATCACAGCATTGTTAAGGTTGGAAAAGACCTCTGAGGTCATCTAGTCCAACTGCCCAGCTACCACCAATATTGCCCACTTAACCATGTTCCGTAGTACATATACACACCCGCCGGGACAGCAACTCCACCACCTCCCTGGGCAGTCCGTTCCAGCACCTCAACACTCTGAGAATATTTTGTTTCCTAATATCCAACCTGAACCTCTCCTGGTGTAACTTAAAGCCATTCCCTCGTATCCTATGGCTGTTTGCTGGGAGAAGAGGCTGACCCCCACCTCACCTCAACCTCCTTTCAGGCTGTTGTATGGAGCGATAATGTTCATCCCTGCCTCCTCCAGACGGAACAATCACAGCTCCCTCAGATGATCCTCATGAGACTCCAGACCCATCACAGCTTTACTGCCCTTCTCTGGACACACTCCAGGGCCTCTAAGTCTTTCTTGTAGTGAGGGGCCCCAAAGTAAACACAGTGCTGGAGGTGCAGTCCCACTGGTGCTAAGTACAGAAGGACGATTATCTCCCTGCTCCTGCTGGCAACACTATTTCTGATACAAGGCAGGATGCCATTGGCCTCCTTGGCCACCTGGGCACACTGCTGGTTCATTTTCAGCTGAGTGTCAGCCAACACTCCTAGACCTTTTTTCTCCACACAGCTTTCCAGTCACTCTGACCCAAGCCTTGTAGTGTTGTATGGGGTTGTTATAACTGAAATGCAGGACCCAGCACTTGATCTTGTTGAACTACATTCCATTGGCCTCAGCCCAGTGATCCAGCTTGTCCAGATCCCTCTGTGGGGCTTTCCTATTCTCAGGCATATCAACACTGCACCCCAATTTGATTTAATCTGCAAACTTATTGAGAGTGCACTCCATTCTCCTCAACTAGAATTTTGACCCCAAATTATTTCTCTGAGGTTGCAGTGAAGTGTCTCAGTGCAGGTCTCCTGGCTGCTAAGTGTCTGCTCAGGCCTTGCAGCCCCATGAAGGTTGATGTTATTTGCAGGATAGAAGTTGTCAGTATACCTTGTAGAGATGAAGGGGTGAGGGCTGTGCACTGTGCAGCCAACAGTCCTATATGAAATGAGTCTGCTGCAATGAGAAAGGCCGTGTCCTTTTGTTCACAAAACATATGGATTCAGTTCCTGACTGATAGGAGTTCGGAAGCTGCTAGAAGTGTCTTCACTGCCTTTGGATCAGAACCCCACTGATACTGTGCATCATTTCTTTCTCTCTGAAGTGAGGTTAGTTGTTTTCAAAGGGTAGTGAAGCAAAAACCATATGTGTGTGATGCTGAGATACCACAGCACGGGTGGCCACAGAAGACATGTAAATAAATACATATTCTTTCTCTCAGCCCACTGCAGTAGCATGAGGTCCATATGGATCCTGTTGTTCCTTTACCTCCTGCTAACTAGATCCTGTGTTTCTTTTTTTTTAACTACACTACAGACATTTCCACTGTTGTGTTAGAAAAATTGTCAGCATCATGATCCTGGCACGAAGTTGCAGATGAAGTTATGCTTTCTTGTGATCTCCGTATTTATTCCTTTTTCATTGTAAGTAAGTTCATCTGCTTTCAGCAGTGATCCTATGAAACCCGTCTCTTATGTGAAAGTTAATGGGTTCTGGTTTTCTGAAATCGTTGCTCCAGGATTGGAGCAGTAAGCTGTTACACTGAAGCTGCCTTTAAAGCTTCCATTACCCTAAAAGGTCTTCTGCTTTGTATCATAAATATTTGTAACTTGTGGTCATAACTACCAGCCAGCTGTCCTTGTGTCCTGGAATGGTAACTTCTTAAATAGAACTAAGGTGTAATAAACTTAAATAATTCATAATTTTTCATCTTGACTTCATAATAAATGTATGTTTAACAGTCTAGAATTACTTTGAATACAGTAATGTTCGGTGCATTCTCTGTCTTTTCATGAAGTTTACCTGACCTCTATAGTTTGCAGGGGCCCAGACACAGAATTATGCATATGTATGTCTATGCATGTAGTTATATCTATGGTGCCAAATCTGCAGCTGATATAAACTGTCATAGCCCTGCTGATTCAAATAGGGCCTGTGATTTACACAAGTTGAGGACCTGACTTGTAGATCTCAATAGGATTGTCCATATGTTTAAAGGCAATTGAGTGCATAAGCGTTTGCAGGCGCAGAGCTCTTTCACTTGGAGCTTTGTCCTATTAAGAGCCAAAGAGTGGTTTAGTCTCATACTGGGGAAATATCCATTGCTACAACTAAATTTCTGTGATCTAACTGGCTAATGTGATATGTATTAAGTCACATTAGAACTTCAGACAGTTATTCAGCTGAAATATCTTCATTTGTAATAGGTAAGACTCTGATTTGTTATGTTTCAGCTCAAATGCTGCTCTTACACCAACAGGGAAGTAACCTTGAAATACAAGAACCCAGTGCACTATGTAGATAAGGACAAAAGATTGTGATTATAAATAGCTTAGAAATCACATTTAAGTAGTTGGTCTGATTACATTTTGTAAGACAGTGAAACTTTGCATTGTATAAAAATACTGCCTGTGTCATCTGACTCCTTTGATGCATTGCATTAAAATTCCTATCCCTGAGTACATATCAAGGAGTCAACTTTATTTCTGTTCTATTAATACTCTGAAATTAGGTCACCACTCTTGTAAGGAAGAGCTAAGTCTGTACAGCTGATTTCAGAGAAATTATCTGGATAAAAACGTTCTTTTTTCATGTTCATATGCAGTGATGCTTTCTTACTTATAACCAGTAATTTTATTATCTGTTCTGATACTGTATTTTATGCTGGCAGAGTTTTGTAGATTTGTTTATAGTGACCCCTGCTGCAAAGGATTAAGATTGACTTTCTCTAAGCCTCTAAAAAGGCATTTACCCCATTATTTCAGAGGTCGGTTCAAAAGAACCAACCAGTTGTAAATTCAAGTTAGGAATATAACATTTGAAACTCCCTAACATGGATCATTCTGAATAAAATCCATAGTTAATTATTTATTTTCTCAAATGTGTAAGATGTACTTTCTAATGCAATGCAATTTAGTTACAAAGTGAAATAGCTTTTCATGCCCCAGATGCAATGCTTACTTTTGTGTTATTGTTCTGTGATAAAGGTTAGACTGCTCACCAAAAAAACATTGTCTGAACTGCTGTGTGTTAATGGTTTTAGAATTCCACTGAGGAAAGCACATATTTATGTTTATACAGGATAGCAAAATAGTAAAAAAGCGGATTAGGGCACATAACTGAGTTTAAATATTGATTAATCGTCTGGTTTCTGAGGGACTTAAAGGTCAGTCTATTCCTGTATTACCCCAAATAGAATGCTTTTTCAAACTTGGGCTTAACAATATTTCAGTATTAGGTAAGGGTATGCAGTCTTTTACAAGCAAAAGATCAATCTATGCTTTGCACTGGCCAAAAGCCATGTAGCTGGTGCATCACTTAACCTGCAAAAGGGAACGTGCAAAAGAACGTGCAAAAGGGAAGTGTATGAACTGCAAGTTTTGTGCTGTTGTGACTACCTAGAAGTCTGCAGGATGGACGAAACACATTTATACCTGCTTGCAAAAGTCACTCCAGGTATAGCCACAGAAAAATCCTCCTTCTATATATTAGTGTAAATGTTATTTTACAAATATGTATGCTTGATGCATTTTTTTTTTAAGTTGTGTTTATAGAATATCATTTAGGCTGCAAAGCCAAACCAAAAAGCATATTTAGAACTACTTGTGTTACCTTCATTCTGCCCACTGTGCAAATATTTACTGATGAAGGTAGGCATCCCATGGAAAATGTGAGAATAGCATAGTGAAATAACCACAAGGAAACAAAATTACCATCTCAGAAGCAACTTGAGTTTTACTTATCCTGCACACTGAGTTCTTCATTTTCCTTTCTCAGTAGCTTTCTCGCACAGCTGAGTGCAATGTCTTAAACTTGACAGAAATGTAAAAACTAAATTGAGTGCACTTGTGCCATATTTTGTATTACCAGTGGGGTTTGAATCCAGTATCTTTTCCCCAGTTGCCACAATTCAATACAAAACCAGTGGAATTTGCCATCTTAGTGTAGGAGCAATGGATTATGGATCTTAACAGCAGTCGGTGGGAAGAAATCCAGCAGAGATGCATTTCTTTCTCTTTTTCCGTGAGCCGTAAAAATCATGTCACCTGAAGTGCCGGGTGAACCACTGGAGCAATGTGTTTGGGTCTCTCTCTCTCCTCCTGGAGAACTGAAAGAAATCCAGTCCTTCACAATGTTCCCAAAAATCAACCACTAGGGACAGATGCTGGATTACTTACAGTATGAGAGTGCAGCCTGGTTCTTGGCAATGATGCAGGAACATGCTGAAGGTCATATGGTCTGTACTCAAGCTACATGAACTTGTCATCCATACTTCTGTTTTCCACCTCAGCATTGTGGCAGCTCATGAGTTAGCTTATTTTGCAGCCATTAGTGCTGCTTTGGTGACAGTTTGAACTGAACCATGAGATGCTCGTGTGTTTTGTTATCATCTTGGTAAACTGACACAAATTTCCTTAGGAGTGTAACAGGGAGAAGAGAATTGGTGTTTTTTAACAGACTGTTTCT